AATGCCCGCGACGCCAGAATCAATTAGCCGTGGCACCCTCCTATTTTGCGTATGCATGCGCGTATATGCATAGCGGGCGATCCCGGCCGAAACTTATTTGCAACTGTCCTGCGCGCGAGTGAACGAGAGAGAGGGAGGGGAGAGAGAGAGAGAGAACGCGGGAACGACGGGGTGGACGAGAAAAACCGGTTTCGGGGCCGTGCGAGAGAGTTAGGCGGAAATTAAATAGCTCGGGACAAACGGGGGATCACAGAACGTTGTTGCTCGCCTCCGACCGTGCGGCGAATTAGGAACGCTAATTTTGCCGCTCGAATCCCGCGGATTCTTGACACGAGCGACTTGCGTGGATCGGTTGCGTAGGTCGCAGTTGGGATTAGGGCTAAGGGCGGAGCTCGAGGTTTCCTCTCAACGGACGATTCGAGCTCGACAATGACGAGGAGGGGATAAATTGGAACTGATAAATTGCTTATACGTATATATTATCCGCTATCGCATTACGCGATTAACTGCATGTACATATTATCTCGCAATTATCGAATGCGAATACTGTATCATCATATGCCTGGATCACACAATCGCACGTTATCACGATAATTTATCAGCGTACTTTCCACGATTCGATACATCGAGACGGCGACACATTACCGAAAGATAAGCGGGAAGCGCCGAAAAGCCGAGGCAAGCAGCAAGGTTCGCTTCTACGGAGAAAGTTGCCGGAAAGTCACTATCAGCGGCTACTATCGGCATCTCACCTGGCCTGACGCCATCAATCGCGCTATGTTGATCGAGAGAGAATTGTTCAACGCTGATTAATATTCGAGTTATCGTCGGCCATAATTGCCGTAAAAAATGGCCCGTCTAATGGCGCGTACTCCTCGGCGTGAGATAACGAGAGTCACAACGGTGTGAGATTATGTTGTAAGTGAAGGAAAAGAGAGAGAAAGAGATTCGAGAGGAGTGCGCGCGCGGGGAGACGCGGTCGGATAGCCAAGCGCGCGGCGCGGTCAATTAGGCGGACTATCGTTACGTGTTTTAATGAGATCTCTGAGAACGCGGAGCCGAAGGTATATAAAAGTGTTTTATGTCCTGTGAAACCTGGGCATCGTTGTGCGCCGTCAATTAGGAGAGAGAAAGAGAGAGAGAGAGAGAGAGAGAGAGAGAGAGAGAGAGAGAGAGAGAGAGAGAGAGAGAGAGAGAGAGAGAGAGAGAGAGAGAGAGAGAGAGACTATGCGCGCAGCGCCGCCCATAATCAGCATATGCAACGCGTTGTATGCGCGGCCCTCAGGCCTGATAACCAGGAAGCAAACGACCTTCCCCTTCCCTCCCCCTTCAGCCCACTACACCGACTTATTATTTTGGTAGTAAAAATGTCGAGGCACGGCTGTGGGCGCCGAGCAGTCCGAGTTTCCATGTTTACGCGAGGTGTCTCCTTCGACGGATCGTCGAGCGCTCGAACGGCATAAGAAACGCGAATCGAGGGAGCGGAGTGATCCGGAACGAACCAATCACCGTGATGTCGCGTGATAAGATCGTTTTCCCGGCCGATCGCAGTGTTGCGACAGCGGATTTACGAAGCCCGACCCGGCTCTACCCCGTAATCGGATTTCGAAATGCAGCATCTCGTATGTTATCGCTCGAGAGAGGGAGAGGGGGTCTCCCGATGCGGTTGTAGGTGCGTACAGGTGTTTTATGATCTCGTTCTCCGTTACGAACGACCATTAGAGATGACGATAAACAAGACTTAATTTCAGACTGCACCGTGCCGCAATTTGCGCCGCGGCATAGAGAAGACCGGGTTGAGTTGACCGTACGTTTTGTTTATGGATTTATCATGAGGAACAACGGGAGAGAGATCGCGAAACGTTCGTCTCAGAACACGAGTACTTCCCTGGGTTTTCTACGTAGGCAGTCTGAAAAGTTCTCCTGACCTGACGACACATACATGGCATTAGAAACTGTCAAACTATAATTGTATTGGAAAGTGGCATCCCTGATATAAACCCACGTAAAATTTTATTCGATCAAGTCAATCGAGTAGTAGCACCAGTTGAAAAAGCTTTGTGGAAGATGGCTGCCGCATTTGCTAACAATTGACCAAAAACGCGTATTCGAATGCGTGCATTTCTCGAAGCGTGTCTGGCACATTTTTCTCGTTTTAAGCAAAATAAAATGGATTTCAAGCTTCATTACTGTCTCATAACTGTTGATGAAACTTGAATCCATCACTATACACCAGAGCGAAAAGAACCTTCCGGAATCACACAATTTAATGATGGTACTGAATTATTGGAAAGACGTTGGAATAAATGTATTGAAGTTTCAGGAGACTACATTGAAAAATAAAACATATTTCACGGCAAAATGAATGTACTTTCATTGTTAGGCCGACAACTTTTCAGACTGCCCTCGTAAAAGGAACATTTTGTCACTTCTTCCCGACTTTCACTCGAATGCACAAACAAAGGCGCATGGCCTTGAGCCAACTTGACCCCGGGTCCCCGAACGTTTCGCTTAGCCAGGTGCAACTTATTAGACGAGAAGAATCGACGACGGCCACCGCCGCCGGCGTCGCCGTCGCGTGTGCCTGCTGAAGAAGGGAGCGCGCATACATCAAGCTTGTTTATATCTACGGAGGGAGCTCATCGCGCGCACAACAATACGGCAATTTGGCCGCGACCGATACGAGATCTCTTCTCTCGACGGACGTTGCTTTCCCATCCTACCGTTACACACCGCAGTCGACGGGAGTAAACCGCGGCTTTGCCCCCGCTGGCCCGCCGCCTCTCTTTACCTACGGTTCCCCGACGTCGCATCGATTTAACGGAGACCCGTGCCACGATCCCACGAGCGTGCGTGCGTGCGTGCGTGGCGTGCACACACCCACACACAAACACGTACACGCATACGTAGCGCCGACGCGTGTACCTGCCGCGTCGTCCATTTCGGGAATCCGACGCGATCTTATCTACCACGATGCAGCCGCCACGACCCCCGCGAAGAGAACCTTTGATTTAGTGCAGGCGGGAGGAGGATGAGGAAGAGGAGAAAGGGGAGGAGGAGAATGAGGATGAGAATGGAGAACCTGGCGGCGATGAGGGCGAGACGGGAAAGCGGCAAGATCGTCTTGTCTCGACGGCTGTAGCTGATGTGCGAGTTCAGCTCCAACGAACTTCGTTCGTAGAGCGAAGTCAAGCTCGAAAAGAGCTCGGAATTTCACGCCGATGCGGTGAAATTTCTCGGAATGTCTCGAGCTCGGACGAGTCTAAATGAACTGATCGCGGGAGGAATGATTAAGGCTTTACGTAATTTGTTCTATCTTGCGTAACATTTCGTCTACATATCTCAAGGATTGCCAATGACTTTAACGTGTGAGGAACAAGATATTTACACTATGCTCTTAAGGGGCAGAGGGGGAGAAGAATGTGTGTGTACATATATATATATATGTACATGTATGTATATATGTATGCATATACATTCGTACGATTTTCTTCTCATCAAGAAGAAATCTCGTCTATTTTTCTGTCGCTGAGCTAGGAATATTAAGCACTATATACTAGGTGCGCAACTAAGTTTCCAGGTTTCAAACATGGATGGCGCTAACGACACATGTAGTCGACATACATGTCTGAAGTTGTGTTTTTTTTATAGCTTGGACATCTGTTAACAATAACCAATCGTAATGCCGCAACAACACATCGCAACGGAAAAATATTTTTTTTAACAACGGAGATGTCGAGTTTTGTGCCAAATAAACAGCATTTGCGGGAAGCTTTGCTTTTCTGCTTTAACTTGGAAAAAAGTGCAGCTGAAGCACGTCGTTTGCTTGAGGAGGCCTACGGCGAACATGCACCATCGAAAACTACCTGTGAAGATTGGTTTAAACGCTTCAGAAGTGGCGATTTCGACACTGAGGAGCGCTCCGGAAGACCAAAACCGGTGGACGCCGATCTGCAAGCGTTATTGGACGAAGATGATAGGCAAACACAAGATCAACTTGCGGAGCGGCATTAAACATGACTCGCCAAGGTATTTCCAAACGTTTACATGCCATGGGAAAAATTCTAAAGGAAGGAAAATGGGTGCCGCATGAGTCGACTGAGAGAGACAGATGGAAAATCGAAGAGCCACTTTCGAAATTTTGCTTTTGCGGCATGAAAGAAAGAGTTTCTTGCATCGAATTGTTACTGGCGATGAGAAGTGGATATATTTCGAGAATCCCAAACGCAAAAAATCGTGGCTTTCACCTGGCGAAGCATCAACATCGATGGCACGGCCAAATCGCTTCGGAAAGAAGACAATGCTCTGCGTTTGGTGCGACCACAAAAGAATCGTGTATTATGAGCTGCTGAAACCGGGCGACACTGTCAATGGGCATCGCTACTGACAACAACTAATTAATTTGAACCATGCATTGCTCGAGAAACGGTCAGAATGGAACGAGTGATATTGCAGCACGACAACGCTCCGTGCCATCGCACTTCCATCGTCCAGGACATCATCAAAATGCTAAAATGGGGATCTGCTACCGCATCCGTCGTATTCGCCAGACCTGGTCCCTTCCGATTATCACTTGTTCCGGTCGATGGTGCATGGCTTGACTGGACAACACTTGGCTAATTTCGAAGAAGTGCAAAATTGGTTGGATGAATGGTTTCGGTCCAAAGACGCGTCGTTTTATCGTCGCGGTATTCATGTATTGCCAGAGAGATGGCAAAAATGTGTAGCTAGCGAGGGACGATACTTTGAATAAACCATTTTTTGTATTTCTCTTGAAATTTTCCATTTTTCATTGATCAAAAAAACCCGGAAACTTAGTTGCGCACCTAGTACATAAACATCTGTCGACCTTGTTATTTTCATCGATTCGCTTTACATAACCTCACATTGCGCTATTCGTAGTAGAACGCTCACGTTCGTAGCTCCGAGTTGAGAAGAAGCTCAAGAATGCGCGGAACGAATTGGAGTGGCGAATTATTTGAGAAAATAAATTTACTCACGTCTTTAAGCGGAACCTTGAATGCCAAGATTCGGGTACCCTTGATCACATCACCAACGGGTTTGTATTCCAGCCATCTGTAAGCATACAAAAACGACTGCAATTACAAAATTGAGGGCAAAAGTAGAAAGCACAAGAAGGGAAGAAACAAGGAGGGAGCAATAAACAGACCTGATATTTCGGGAAAATCAACGTTAATTCCGCGAAAACAATGAAACTCAGCGGACGATAAACAATGTGAAAAACTTACCACGTGTGACTGAGAATTAGCATTCGTTAAACTACAATTCAAATTTCATTAATTCGTCAGATTAAGACATACAACACCATCTGTGAGAAATGGCGGGAAATAAAGTGTGGGATGCATGCTCGATCGGTCAGCTGTTCGAGGAATAGCGTCCCCGATGCTATCGTAATTAACAAAATTTTATCACTATCCCTAATAGGAGAATAAACTAGAATTACAGCCCAATTATCGAACGGACAAATACATATGAGCATTTTATTCCTTCTATTTCTATTTATATCGTCACGATATGTGTTTCAAGTCAGGGAAAATCGACACACAACATAACCTCTCTACAATGTGATTGCACTTGCGAACGCGTAAGCAAGCGATTCTAACTACTGTAAAACATCCAACGATCTCCGCCGTGTAGCGGAATAAAAAACCCCTCACCTGTCCGGCACTAAATTCGCCATATTTGCCGCTCACTCACAAATCTTCCCGCGAAAGTAACCGCATAACACCGAAACGCAATACCACTATCATTGCGCGATACATACACGTAGCAGAAGCAGCAGTGAACGCACTCGCGTAGTACGCGGCGCAGCGCGATTGATCGATCTCTCGACTTCCATGCGTATATTAGCGGCATATTGAAGTCGATATAGAAATCCATCGAGCTCCGATCCGATATTTAGTAAATTCATTAGTGATGTCTAAACCAGTATGCAGGATACTTACCTTTGAGGGAAAAAGTCGTATGAAATTAATATTAATTGTATGGATAGTGGCCGTGTTCCAAAATTCACTGCCAGCGCTGAAAATTTATAATTTGCGTGACACAAACTATATGTTTTCAGTACTGGCAGTGAATTTTGGAACACGGTCAATATAAGGTAGCCCAAAAAAGTCACTAGACTAGATTTAAAATTCGAATAGGTTTCTACAATTAATTAATTTCAAAATTTTTCTTTCAATTTATTAGAGTATAATTTTTGGAAATTAATTATGGAGCAATTCACGACTGCGCAATGTGTGAAAATAATCGAATTTTATCTACGAAATTAACGATCAATTGTGCTAACACACACACATACATATATATATATCTCAATGCTTTGTTGTACATGCTGAATGTTGTCCTGTGACCTCCCTGAACATCGCCTCCCAGCACATGGTAAATCACTCACAGACCCCTGTATCTCAAACCGCCGAAATAAGTTAAGTATCGCTTGTTTAGATGATTTTTCTCTGACCCCAAAATGACGAGTGTAAACTCTCTGCATTAGCACAATTTATCGTTGATTTTGTAGATAAAATTCGATTATTTTCACATGTTGCACAATCGTGAATTCCTCCTTAATTTAATTTCCAAGAATCACACTAATAAACTGAAAGAAAAATTTTGAAGTTAATTAATTAATAAAAGCCTATTCGAATTTTAAATCGTCTAGTGACTTTTGGGCCATCCTGTATATATACATATCTTCATGTGGGGCAACTTCAGAATCTCACATAAAATGAGTCGTACACAGGAAAAATTAATATTGAGAAAAACACTTATTCAGTAGTTACTTGGAATACATTTTTTTTCTCCCCATATTTTCTCAATCAAGTTGTTGGTAACAATGCATAAAAAATATTTTTTTAGTCATTTGTTGGTAATTATTTTATTAAAAATTACATTGCTAATCATAAACATCCGTTATTCAATATCAATTAAATCAATAAAAATAATTACAGATATGTAATTATTCATCACATGTACTAGTATGTACAAATTAATTATATAATAATTAATAATAAATAATTCAAGTATACGCTTAGTCAAAATAGAATCTAGCAATATCTTTCTTCTTATTAACTTCTTTTTGTTAACTTACTGGACATTGCATTTGATCATTTTCAGTTGTTGTTCTCAACTTCAAAACATCTGCTAATATTAAATTTTCCACGTCGAGAAGTTTAGCAGGCTTCTTGTACTAAAACAAAAGAAAGTGATATAAATATGATATAAACATGCATAGTCACCAAATGCAGAGAACTATTTTTGTTTCTTACCATTATAATTAAAGTATTCAAGTAATGCTTGAACGTTATATTATCTTGTTCTGGTTTTAATCCAATCCGTTTGAGATCTGGAACCTCTAACTTCTTGAAGTATTTTTTGTTGCTTGTACGCACAGTTATTGTGCCATCTTCTTCTGCAGTAACAGAATATACATCTTTAGGATATGATAAATTTCTAATCCGCCATTCTAGTGAATGTTTTGTTATCCTTCTTACAACAACTGGCTGTAACAACATGATATATATATATATATATTCTGCTTATTAAATATTGTTTCCTAGTAGAAGATATATTTTATCAAACAGGAATTATATTGATAGAAAGTAACATACCGTATTTGAACTTTCTCGTATTTCATATGCTTCATTCTGTTCTATAACATCAGGCTCTCCAATTTCAATGGACCAACCATTTACTTTCCCAAAGTTATTTCTTCTCCTCCATGCTCTCCGTACTACTACATTTGTATCTATATTATATTCTTCAACCATTTCTTGTTTATTTTGCAACAAGTAATGAACTTTTCTTTTACCTGTATGTAGAACATGATAAAATTAACAGAATATTCTACATATTCTACATATTAAAGTATTCTACATATTAAACAAAACAATTCTTACAGAATTCTATTGTTTTATTTTAATATAGATAATAAGATTTAATATTGTAACAATTACACTGTTCTCAAAAAAGCATATAATCCTAAATATTATGTTCTAAATATTGTAAAAATAATTTAAGAATATAACAAATATATTTAATTAAATAAAAATAATAGTGAGGAACTTATATTGAGGTACTTAGAAAGACATGTAATCATGATACATAGTTCAACTTGTAACTTTGTATAACATATAGATAATCTAGTAAATCTATTATTGATCAAACATTTAGAGGTTAGGGAAAGATCGTACATAAAAATATAAAATTAAAAATCGTAAAAAATTATAAACTTAACAGAGGCTATTTAAGTATTATTATTAATGATCATTAAATATAATTAGGCATATCATACACAAGTCATTAATTATCTTTACCATCTTGAATAATTGCAGTTTTCTGCGCATTTTGAAGAGTCGTCAGCCAGGATTCAGGAAACATCTTGTACAAATTCAGTGAAAGGAAATATTTCCTTCCCTGTTATATATCGTTGTGAGACTGTAACAGACAAAAGAAGACTGAATTGAACTGAATAACAGAATGAATAAAAGCATAGACATAGTATACCTAGATTGCACGTTCTCCCAAATTTTGAAGATGAGTAGAGCTGCCGTGGAAAAGGATGCACTCTACAAATTATTTCATTGGCTAGGGGGTACCTGAAACTGAACTTAAGGCTGCGTTCCGAAATTCACTGCCAGTACTGAAAATACATAGTTTATGTCACGTATACTATAGATTTTCAGTGCTGGCAGTGAATATCGGAAGGCAGTCTGAAGGCCATATTCATAGTCCGGTCTTATATTTAAGATCGTCTTAAGTTCATCTTCAGATGTTGTACAGATCATTTCATTGGCTACAGAATATCTGAATGTGAACTCAAGACGGTCTTAAATATAAGATCCGACTATGAATACGGCCCTAAGACAGTCTTAAATATAAAGATGATTGGTCCGTTTCTTACTACTTATACTTTCAACTTTATTCTTGCAGCCATTGTAGACGGCCCTTAAGACCTGACTACGGCCAGTATTCATAATCGGATCTTATATTTAAGCCCGTCTTAAATTTATTTTCAAATGCTGTACAAATCATTTTATTGGCTATGGAGTATCTGAAAGTAAACTTAAGACGGTCTTAAAAATAAGGCCTGGTCTACAATACATGTCGTAAGTTGTAAGTCGTAAGAATTGGCGAATCACAGTCGATTATTACAAAAATAATCGACTATAATTGGCCTGTTCTTACGGCTTACAACACATATTGTAGATCAGGCCTAAGAACTGACTATGAATACCGGCCTATGAATACTGACAACGAAAACTGACTATGAATAAGAAGCTGCGTTCCGAAAATCACTGCCAATACTGAAAATATATTTGGTCTGTTCTTTTTAGCTGCACTGCGGAACTAGTGCAATAAGTTAAGGCCTTTGCACGTAGAAAATCTGTAACTGCAACCGTAAGATCGTAAGAAAACTGACCAATCACAGTCGATTGTTCTCCTTGCACTAGAGAAATAATCGACTGAGATTGGTCAGTTTTCTTGCGGCCTTACGTTTACGGTTAAATTCTTTTACGTGCAACAACTTTTAGAGTGAAACAACTATATTTTTTTCATTTTAACTTATTGCACCAGTTCACAGTTAAACAGTGCCGTTAAAAAGAACAGACCAATTGTGTCACGTAAACTATAGAATTTCAGTGTTAGCAGTGAATATCGGAATGCAGCCAGAGTGAATTTCTTGGAAACATAAACATGGCGCCATCTTAAGCCAGCGGCACTTCGTGCTGGATTGCTTGCTGGATGAAAATACTGCGTTCTGATTGGTGCATTTTCATCCATCTTCAGAAATGTACCAATCAGAATGCAGTATTTTCATCTAGCAAGCAATCCAGGACGAAAACAAGCACCGTGTGCCGCTGGCTTTAAGCCCGTGTCACACTACGGATTGAAGATCAAGGATTGCGGATTGAAGATTGAAATTTGACCAATCGGAAAAAAGTAAATCAAAACCGAAGTTCGTCGATTTGTCGAAATCTAATCTTCAATCCGCAATCCTTGATCTTCAATCCGTAGTGTGACACGGACTTTACAGTGTCACTAAAGGCTCATCTATAATGGCTGCAAGAATAAAGTTGTAAGTGTAAGCAGTAAGAAATGAACCAACCACCGTCGATTATTATAAGTATAATCGACTGTGGTTGGTTCGTTTCTTACCGCTTACAACCTTATTCTTCCAGCCATTGTAGATGGGTCTTCAAGAACCATTATGCTCGTACATATGGTCGAGTACGTGTATTTTTATCAAATCGATTCTGGAATCTCGAATGAACGATTTCTCGGTTTCTCTCGCAATATGAATTTTTAACTTCAAACTTTCCACTATAACCCGTTACAATTTTTAATGAAGAATCTAGTTGTAAAGCACTCAGGTGTAATGAAATAATCCGATTCGGGCTTCGGTCGAAGAACACAAAAAAGATACACAGCAAAAATTTATGTAATAAGATGTAAACAGTAAGCAAATCATAGGTGAGAAAATAAGCGATAACTATATTTACGCCTTTCACTATGCCTAACAGATTTACTTACTGTTTATATATTGCTCCATAGGTTACATAATTTGCCACTTATATAAGTGGCATATAATTTGCACTTATATAAGTGCAAAATAACGCAACCAACTTTCAGACTGTCAACACATATTATAGAAAAACAGAATATAAAAACCAGGTCCGTCTAGAAACATAGTGATCAATGGCTGCATTCAGCAAACTCAACAGTTGGACATCATTACTAGATTTTCCACTGAATCTCGCTCCTGATTGGTAAGTACTTCTGGGTCTATGAAGAATCTAAAAGAATGCTCCAATCACAGACAATAATCACTAAGCGCTCTCTCATCACTTTGTTCTACTGAACGCGGCCAATATAAACGGTAATCAATATTGAACGGAAATCAATATAGTAAAAATAATATGTACGAGCGTTCGTGCATAATTCACACAAGAATTTTAATAATGAAAAATCACCGCATACAAGTGAAAATTATTATACATAATGTTCTATTCAAGAGTCGAAATAATGAAAATCACATCGAGAGTTGCAATTACACGTTATGAAGATATAGGCCACGAAAAATTAAAAAGCAACAGGCTCCGAAATGACTTGTTACGAAATATTAATTATCGAAATATGGATAATAAGGTTTTAATCTAGATCCAAATAAGAAAGACCCTCACAAATTACAACAAGGTACGCCTATTAGGTATTGAGAAATTAAAGCCGATAGGTCAAGACCGATCGATGTGAAAATAACGTGTCACCGAGCTATAAGCTACAAAATTATTTGCTATAAAATATTAATTTAGGTTCGAAATAAGACTGATCCGTGCAAACCGCATTGAGCTGTGATCACGCGTTTCGGAATTATAAGCCACGTAAAATGGAAAAGTGACAGGCACGGAAATGACCAGTCATGAAATATGAAATATCGAAATATGGATAATAAAATTTTAATCTAGGCCCAAAGTAAGAAAGATCCTCACAAATTATAACAAAGTGCGGCTATTCGTTATTGAGAAATTAAAGCAGAAAGTTCAAGGATGATCGATGCGAAATTAACGTGTCACCATATATAAGCTGCAAAATTATTTGTTATAAGACATTAATCTAGGTTCGAAATAAGATTGATCCCTGCAAGCCGCATCGAGCTGTGATCACGCGTTTCGGAGTTGGAGACCACGAAAGACTGAGAAGTGACAGGCTCACAAATGACCTCTATTAAGTCAGCCCTCTCCCACAGCGAAAATAAAAAATCTATTAAGTATAAAATTAAGTGCTAATTAGGTCCTAAAATCCCGAATTTGGTGCTCGCGTGGTTTAGCATAAAAAAATAAAATAATGGAGGAGGGTAGTTTAACGTTAACTCAGCCGCCCCCAAATAAAAGAACATACAACCAATACGTAAAATCGAAAACAAATGTCAAAATTGGGTGCTAATTAAGTGCTCCAGGAAGAAACAAGTAACAGATATTAAAGATGTAACGCCGCTCAAAAGCTATAACAAAATAAATATATCATCACAAGGATGACTGTCCAAGAGAGAATATTATAAAATTAGGTGCTCTCTTAATTTTGCACCTAATAGATTTTTTATTTTCGCTGTGAGAGGGGCTAATTTAATAGAGGTTTTGAATTCGTGTGAAGCAAGCGAGAGTTGTTGTCATATCGTATAAATGAACATGGTGCAATGACCGTGTTCGAAAAGCAAAGTGCAGTCTTGAAGTCAGGCTCAACATCATCTCCGACACGCCAGTTTCCACGATCGACGCATTGGAAGGAAACGCTTCGAGTTCCAGGAATTGGCGAGTTGGAAGGTGGATGCTTGGGTTAGGTTCTAAGAACTGTAGAGACTTGGAAGAGACTTGGAGTGATGTTTTCGGGCGTTTAAACAGAACATAATGCTTCTTTCGGCCACTCAGAACGGGCTAATAATATACAAATCTGATAAACGGTTATGAATGGAAATATAAAAAAATATTGAATAGGTTGTTACGCATTGGACGAGATTTTAATTGAGATTTTGGATGAGAATTTAATGTCGTTTCACAACGACGTTAGTTTAACTCGTCGATCTTTCCAGCGTCAGAATAAAAGAAGGCGACCCCACGATACGTCTAATTCCTAATTGTTGCAACACAGCTAATGTAAAATAAACTTACATCTCAATGATTCCTAATGATCCTCTTTGCAAAATATATCCTCGGGCACTTAATACGTATTTTTCACAACCATAAAATTTAACTTCGCACAACAGGCCATTTTTCACAACACTTGATCACTTGAAACTTTATCACAAAACTTAACCAAGCACATTTGATTTTGACGCTCGCGACGATATTTTACGATGCGCGAGACTTTTTCGGAGAATCGAAAACATAAAAGGCTACGGTTTGAACTTCAAAGTAATATTACGCGACAAATATGCGGAATTTCGCTATTCATGCGATATTCTCGACTGCTTGGTTTCGCTTCAATTCAATTTCGACGGTGATTTAAGGTAATTGTTCCTCAAAATAAAAGTCATGCTACAACGCTGAAATTTTGTACAAAATTAATGTTTATATTAACAAGTTACTTTGCGAAATCTTGGCTAAATTGACCACCTAGTTTACGAGAAATATGCAATCAAACTTCGCCATTTTTGTCTAAAATTTCAATTCATTTATGCATGCTTCTTTGCAAATGAAACGACTTTTTTCACAAACTGATGGCATTAGTTTGCAGAAAACTAATTTTTATAGTGATATAACTTAAATAGAGGCTAAACAATTCTTTAAATTGCCTATTTTGTACTATTCTTTAACATTTTTTATTCTGACGTATGAGGAAAAAAATACTTTCAATGACCACTGCATCACAAGGAGTCATGATAAATATCTCATATTCTAGACAAAACAAGTTAAACCCTTTAAGAAACACATATTTTTTTTTTTAAAAGCTTGTCCACATAGTTATTGTCTAATAATCATCCAAAAATCGAAATATCGTCATTGTTTACATTTTCATAGCAGCTGACGGGAGAAAGCGATAGACGTGGCAACGCCTCTGTGCTGACAAATTACGGTGAAGATTGAATGTAATCCTTTTTTTGTTTCGTTCACAATATTATTCTCTAAAGATAAAGTACCTTTACAGCTATGGCACTTGAGATTCTTCCCTAAAGCTTGTATTCTCTAAAGATAATTGTGCTGACAAATTACGGTGAAGATTGAATGTAATCCTTTTTTTGTTTCGTTCACAATATTATTCTCTAAAGATAAAGTACCTTTACAGCTATGGCACTTGAGATTCTTCCCTAAAGCTTGTATATTGACAATTCGATTTCCAACATAAGAGGGTTTTGTCGATGCACATGCATTTTGCTGATCTCGCGTAGCATTGAAACTATCACTACGACATTCTTGCCATCGCTTAGAATTAGCTTCTCCTTTTAGCACCTTTTCCCTTCGTCGTATTTCTTGTTTTTTCATAAACCTACCTTTAAATCGCGATTTGTCTGACGACATTTCTGTATGCACCTACATACGCGCTGCGTGGTTATGTTATAGGTTATACTGGTCGTGTTGTTGCTGAGCGAACAGCTATGATAATGCAACATTGCCACTCGTTCTCTCTCGCATTCAACTACGTGGTACATGCGATTGATATATTTCAATATTTATTTTTCTTTTTTATTAATATACCGTAGTAATGCGGTACAACTTCATGTTAATTATTTACTCGATTTTTAGTATAAGAAAAGATACATATTTTTATATTTCTTTTTTGTACTTTATGTTGACTTCCTCAGTTGGGGAATAACTACCTTAATGCTGCTTCGCCGTAACAAACACACGAAACTAATTTTCGGTACTTAAGACAAAACAATACACGTGCGCGAGATTCACTTTTGGCAATTCGAAATCACGGCGAATTGCTCGAACGGTTTTTCGAATCCGTAGAGTTACAATTCGTTAGATTGGTATTGCAACGGTCAAGATTTTCAATTGTAAGTAGCTCCGGGAACTTTTTTTTTTTAGTCACGCAGGGGAAATCCTCATAGATACCCCCGCCTCATGGGGAGGGCGGCGGTTATGTCGGACTTCTACCGACTAAAACCCCTGCGGGGTGCTTAGGGGGTGGGGGGAGCCAGGGGAACTACGCCTGCATTCCCTCCCCGAAGCTCCGGGAACAGGTACCACTCGCGTATTAACCAATCACAACGTTCCATTCCGTTAGGTCCGCCATGATAGAAAAAGATTTACGAAACTTCCCTCGGCACTTCCGACGAATAGTATCCACTTTCAGCATTTATTTAACGATGCTATATCATACTTTGATGTTTTGAGCGATAATTCACGCGCGAAACTCGATCGGCGAGTCGGACTTGTAAAGTCCAACGTTGTCTAGTCGTGTTAACATTGGTTGCGTTCAAAAAACAAAGCGCTCATTGAGCGCTTAGTAACTATTGGTCCTTACTGTTAGATCCTTACATTCAGACCAATAACGTTGACGAATTACTCAACCGTTGTGTAACCGTTGTGTTTTTTGAACGCAGCCATTGTCGAGCCGCCGTTACGATGACGAACGCGACAACTTTAATCGGCGATCCGGCGATAACTCACTCCACGGGATCTTCACTTCTCGCGATCATGTAACGATATTGCCGCGCGAAACTCACATTCGGCATTCCCGATAACGATGACTGAGCCGCGAAGGCTTAGTTACGAGAAGCCAAAATCACGTCGGAAAATCGTGGGAAACGGTTCTTCGCACGCAACACTTTCCCGCAGCCCGCAACACAACTGATGAACTCATGAACGTACAGCGCCGCGGTTGGGATATTCGAAAATAGCTGAACCAACCAATCACGGGGTGCGTTCCGTTTCACGCATATGCGCGCATTTATTTATAGTTTATGTCACGTATACTATAAAAAATACGCGCATATGCGTGAAACGGAACGCACCCACGGTGATCCGTTCCATGCGCGAGCTGGCGCCACTTTCAAATCTGAGACACATGAATGCTCGTAACGATTATGATACTTGAAATATTAACGGTATTGTCAAAGCAAAAGTACTAATTTTTCAACGTTATCGGAAAATCAGATCATCAAGACACTCATTGTATGATTATATTCATCTTCAAATTTCTCAACACGATTATTTTTATATCATTAGCTGACCTAATTGCAATAGCCAGCATTCTGACTAAAATCTGCGATCTTCTCTTGTCATCTACATCACTGACAAATAATGTTCAATACACAAATAATTATTAATTAAATTAAATGAAAGGGGAGAATAATTGTGTGCAAATCAGTACGATACTTTTCCCAGAGGTTTTTATTCAGCTTTATTTATACAATATAGAAATTTAATGACAGAAGGAGATCTTGACTGCGATTAGATGGACTTGCAAGCTTGTGCAAATCCAAATTATGTTTGTACAGTAGACGAACAGAGTTCTTATAAATTAGTCTTTTAGAAAGGTTTGCCGATACTGAGATCTCCGCTCGCTAAGTACAATACGTAAAAGGCATCCTACACCCAATAGTATGAATACAATCGCGTATGTAAATGTTAATAAGGAGCTGATTATTAATAATTGCCGACATAAACTGCATTTTCGTTCGATTTCTTTTATAACATTATAACATATATTTTTATTATTACTCTTCGTGTATATGTATTTATATATACAAGTACATATACATAAATACATACATTTATCTTTCATTTATATATATATATATATATATATATATAAGTATATATTTGTATATATATATATATAATGTATATAATATTTATAGAAAATTATACTAGCTACATTAATATATACATAAAAAGGCAAATGTGAAATACCTGAACATTTCTCATTTTTTTTATTTTATAAAAATATGTGATTTTATATTACGTTTGTTCGTATTTCAACGAATGCTATTCTTAATATTGTAGCATTACAGCTCGTCGCAGTAAATGTATTCACATACTTGCATTATTTTCTATATTGTATCAGCGTACACGTATACTGGTGCTATTTCAGTACACGTGTACGTTAATACATCATATTAATATATATATTACAAGGTGTTGCCTGCGTGATTTATCTGAACAGAGTGAAATTTCAGTGTCCGTTTAAGCAGCACTCTACATGGAACACAAAATGGTTCGGAGATTAGTTACTGCAAGTTCGCTGTATCCCATCAAATGTCTCAATCATTTGCCTTTTGTTTGCACCTTCTACTTCTCCCTCAATTAAATGCAATTACAATTTTGCATTATACATTCACGACGCTACCGCTCTCGGAACTTTAAGCGCTTCAAAAAACGATATACATATTCTCTAAGATCATAACGCAACAAGGTTATTTAATAGTACATATGCGCGTGTGTTTTTCCGTGCTTGTCCCATATCGCGATGACACGTGTGCGACGTGTTTACTCAGCATCTCGCCCGCTGCAGCTCAGTTTTTGGCTCGGGGCGGGGCATGAGTGTGTCATAATTTTGGTAATTAAGTATACTTCTAGCAATAATCGCAATCGATAGATTGAAATCATTGGATAGGTACGTTTCAATGGAATCGTCGCATTCCTATATATATATATATATATATATATATATATATATATATATCGTATGCATAGATAGAAACAATTACATCGAAACGTCATGAAAATACCTTTCTCTCTCACAAATATAAAAAAAAGGAAGAAAAAGAAAGTATGAGCCTTGTAAATTTATAGCGTATCACTGCACGTATATCAGAGCTACACGTTTACGTACATGCACTTCAAGAAGTTAACAAGCGTATTTTACGTATGAAGCAGGAAGAGTAGTATTGGAATAAGAGATTAATTTAGAATTGCTTCAATTACGGTGACATAACAGTTCTCGTGCGTCATTCAACGACATAATACCCGCGTCAATGTCATTTGCGTGTTGACAGTTGTAAATTTCTCTCAACATCGCAGACAAGTAGTGACCGGTTTCAACCGGGTCACAAAGAAAGCCCGCGAAAATGGTTAAATTTATTCCATTACCATTTCACATAAATACATATCGCTATGTAAGGCCAGTATAAAAACTCAAAATATATGTTTGGCATCGCTCCGTGTAACTTAAAAGATAAAAAATTTCCAAGCGCTCGGTTATTCGTAATTTCCTTTATTGACGAGTCGAAGGAAATGCATCATGAGTGTAACATCGTTATCCAACTGCGTAATACAAAAGCCTTTGATTATGAAAACAAAAAGGGAGTGCGCACACGGAGAATAAGATGGTTCTTCGGAAATAAAAGTATATTGAGATAAATGACCCACAAATAACTGAAAACTGTAGTATCACTTTGGAAAAAAAGAAAGAAAAAAAACCACCATTAGGAAAAATGCTAATCCTACCCCTTCTGTTGCTACTAAAATTCCTAAATATGTTGCTGGAAAAATTTAGTTGCTGGAAATTTGCGTAGCAGCGACTCGTACGTGAATTTTCGTGAACTCGTACGTCAAAGAATTTTCGTTGTTTGTTCGGACACAGTGCGAAATACGTCAAGTGTGTCCCCAGTCATGAGTTCTATTCGATAAGAATTATGCATGATGAAGTCAGTTAATGCGTACGATCCTTGCCTCCGACCGATCTGCCTGGGCAAATATTCGCGAATGTAGTATAACGATTCCGAGTGTGTATTCGTAAATGTATCGATGTGTATTTTATTATACGCCCAACACCGGTGTCCCCGGCACCGTGTTCGCTCCCACTGCGCTTCGGACGCACGTGCTCCGTCCAAGAATGACGTAAGTTCTCTGATAACCAATCACGTTGGTATACGATCCTTTGACAGTTTCATTCCTTGTGCTCAGGATCGGGTTTCGTCTTCGGCTCCATCGAAGATTGCCGAGATTGATGAGGGTTCGTCTGATTTCTGCGAACCAGCAGAATGTTGCCATCCACGGACTGTTGAAGACTGTACTCGTACGGATGGTACTGATTACCGTCTGGATCTCGTAGAGACTGAAATGTAACCATTGCAGTTTTTTTTTTTTTTTCATTGTAACACTACATTTAACAATATTTTGTTGGGAAATAATAGTCAAAGTCAAATTGATCATTACGAAAGAATTATGTCAAGCGTTAGGATTTTATTTCAAGACCAAGTATATTCGGACCAAAGAGAAATAAGGTTTGAGAGAATATCAACCTGGAAAATGTGACGATAAAGTTGGCTAAACTTGTCCTTCACTCGCTGTATCTCCAAGCGCATACTATCACGATCGCGTATAAGCAACATCTTGCGATCTCGCATTCCCTTCACTTCATCGGCTAGACTTAGGATCTGATCCAATTTGCGTTTGCGACAATTCTGCGCGGCGACCTTATTCTTGCCGCGTCTTCTAATGTCGCGTATTAGGGATAATTGGGCCTCGCTAAGATCGTATTTACTGAGACGTTCGTTAAACTCATCCATGGGAAGGTTGATGATGTCACTCACTGCGATCGGCACGCTCAATGCTCTTGCTCTTTTTTCGTCTCTCGTTAGATGCTCCTCTGCTTCGCTTTTGCGGACTGAAATTTGCGTAAATTAGCAGCGTGCGACATACATAACGTACGTCTTTTCTTTCAAAGTATTATTATGAACGAGATCTAAATGAATGCTCGTAGAGAATGTTACCTTTCTTGTCGCGCGAAATAGGACGTTGAAGGGATCCCGAACTCTCGGCAGGCAAGTGATAGGTATGATTATGATGAACATGTTCTATTGCAGATCGCCCTAAAAGCATAAAAAAAGGAAGTCAAATTTCTAACTCGCGACGAGACTTCACATAGACTTCACATCTTGAATTCTGTCGCAACTTGGAAGAAGTTCTTCGCGCAAATTTCTCTTACCAGATTGATGACGGCTAAAGTCCACGCTACAACTATATTTCATTTCTGGCTGCGGGCCGGCTGCGCCCTCGATCGGTCCAGAATACGCGTTGCCTGGCGCACCCGCGCCAACCGTATGCGTGTCATATTCATATTTCATCGGAGTAATCGGATGTGCGGTAGCGCCCAAAGGTGAGCCTGGTAAGTAGTAGTTTCGCAATTAAAATTCTTCATGCTGTGTCATCATCCCGCGGTGATGACATCACCGCGAGGAGATCGCGATCGGCATGTTATTTCTGAATTCTTACAAGTGCCTTGCTCCTGGAAATATCGCTTGGCGAACATTTGATGTTTCTTCTGTGCGACCGGCGCGACGGTTCGTTCCGTTTGACATCTCGGTGAACCAGCATTCCTTCCGGAGACCGAATAGCTACAGTCGTACGGCATGCGATACTTGCTGTAAAACGCAAGTAATATTTAAAGAATCGTCAATAAACATCGCAGGACACATGTGTGTGTGTGGGAGGGGGGAGAGGGAGGGGGGAGGGGTTGTAACGCGCGTGGAATTCTATACATTTCCAGCCACTGACATGATGAAAATAAAGTGAGCAACGTTTATTCCACGACTCGAAGACAAAGAGAGCATTGTGCCTTTGAAAGCTGAACACGGCGTTTCTACACACTCACACACATCTCCTCGTCGTTTATCTCTCGGCCTAAGATTATTTATGATTCATTAAAAAACAAGAAAGAGGAAGGGGCGACTCCTAAGAGTCGACGACGGCGACAACGTTTCGGATATTAATTACCTCGCATAATCCATGCTGTAATGAGAGTCAGCCTGGGTATGGCTGGAATTGGATCCAGTTTCCATCCACTCGCCGTCCGAGAGGGACGGTACACGTTCGCTACCCATACTACTGACGGCGCTGTCGCTCGAAGCGTCCATCCTCTCGTCGGCTACGGCAGGTAGAGTCGTGACACCGGTAGCCGTCGAAGCTGTACCGCCGGCTGTTTGCACACCCGGTAGAGCGGTCGCGCCAGTGGTGGGTCCTGATGTATTGTTGTTGCCATTATCCAGCATGCGCATGGTATACATGCCTGAAACAGTTGGAAAAGATGCACATATATATCAGTATAATTCTAAAAGCTCGCACGTTCTTTTTTTACTTAAATAATATGAGTAATACGAAAATAGTATGAATATATTAAATAATATGAATAAATAAATACATCTAACAAGTAAGATGAATAATTATATTACTGCTGCATAATTTATTATATAAGTATATTTTTGTTTCGCTTATTGCATAATAAATACACATTCTCATAATAAATAGAAATTATAAATTAAAAATTGTAGTAATTTTCAATGTAGATGCATATCTCGTGGCTCTGAATGGCTATTAATGTATTACATCGAGGTCGCTCCACGATAATGCTCGTTGATGTTTGGTTCTACACTTTCGGCGTAATGTTTTCGCGTCCTTACGCTCCCGATGTAATCTCCGCTCTCTTTATCTCGCGCGAATACAACTCACAATCTTAGTGTATTCGCAAAACACGCATCTCGAAATAGGCTGTCGTCGTCTACATTTCGTGCGAAAACTCTTTGAGAACACAATGTTCTTCTCGCGAGTGTGTATGTGTGTGTATGTGTGTGTGTGTTTGCATAAAGTTTGATACGGCAGCAAGAAACTTTTCAGCGAGAAACGTGAACGCGATTTCCGATATGCCGCCGCTATTCGGACCTTTCGATACGGCAAACACTTCTTCACTTCACAAACATGACATTTGCCACAACCGGTTTTTGCACCGACGACTATTTACAACACGGTGCAAGCTTCGCGATTAGCAATATATATATATATATGCGCAATATACACGGTGCAATAGTCTCTTCGTTTAACGCGAAAATAAAGGAAATAAATTGACAGAAACGCTGAAAGATTTATCGCTAGGCAGCTTGCGCGCTCTCAGTCGCAATAATAATTACGAAAAATCACTTCTCGATGCAATAACTTTGCATGTCATTTAGCCCCCTTCCTGTCTTTTAATTGTTATTACATTAAATTCTTTCAGTATGCGTATGCGAGAATTTTTATCATCTAACGCGCGTTGGAACGATATTTACCACAAAGCTCGACGACAATCCAAGGTAATCCGGAATGCAGATGTATCATTGATTAAACATACCTATTAATATCAATCGCATTTAAAAACCTGAGATTGCGCAAAGATAAGACATTCAGAAGACGAGTGAATATACAAGAAAAATATGCGTGGCGCATGAGTCTCGTTATCAGCGGTGTATATCATACCATCGCAGCCAATATTGCGTGACTAGATCCGCGAGACGCGGTCACACGCGCCGTGTTATTCACTGACCTATTAATTTCCAAATTATTTTCAAGCGAACCAACGGTCTGCCGGACTGCACGGGGACTACAAGCACGCAGGTAAACGCAGATGTCAGTCAGTTTCGTCGACGACTATCCACCGACGCGCGGGACGACATCAATTTCTCCGGTAACATCGAGATCTTCGCGCCGCGATTTTCGGAGAGCGCAAAATCTACTTGCCGAACGTTCGCGCTCGCGTTTGCTCGACGAAACGAGGCGACGACTGCGCGCACAATTAACACACGCACCAGCCACATTTGCGAATGCTGTTTTCTTTCTTCGCGACGCAAGCGTAAAAACCGATAATTGCGGGATGCTCGTCCTAATCTTTATCTTTATTTTTCCTCGGCTGAATGTTTAAGTAACTCGTACAATGTACAACTCGCAGTGTGTGGTGTTGGTGCTTATCGGTGCGCGTGATTGAGTGGGCCTAGTAGATAAAAGTGACAAGTGCTTAATGTGCTATTTTTCGTTCATACTGAAATGTATATACGACACTCGCGACGAAGAGACACGCGCATCGACAAGTTTCTCTTTCTCTCTCCCATTGCCATTCTCTCTCGTTAACGCGCATAATACGCTTTCTTCTAATCCCGGCACGAGATGCGCGTCAAAGGTGCAACGATACGCTGACGTACTCAGAAGCAGTCCAACATGACCAAATGCCGTCAGACCTTATACGTGACAGTTCCCAGGCTTTGTCCTTATTAGTAATCTGTTTCGAGAAAGGAGGCGCGCCTGCCGCATTCGTTTGAATCCGCTCCTGCGCATTATGCGGTTAATAACGCGTGTGTCGTATTCACATTCGTCTCTAGGACTATGTTTGTATGAATAAATAAAAAGCGAGCGCTCGCGACCTTGCGAGGTGAGCCGTTGTGTGTTGCGTACGTGTATGTGTGTGTGTGTGTGTGTGTGTGTGTGTGTGTGTGTGTGTGTGTGTGTGTGTGTGTGTATGTGAAGTCTCACGAAACTTATTTTTTCCTTAAATCGATTTCGTTAATAAGAAAAAAAAAAAGATGTCGGCAGAATCAAACGAACGTGACTATAATGCACCGCGATGATGAATGAAAGCCTACAGTTTAAAAACGGGGAAATTTTTGATATTTCCTGGCATGGATTACGAAATTTTCTTGAGACAATATTTCGTCGTTATCATCGCGTTTTCACAACGAGCGAAAGAGATAGCACGTTTCCGTTTGTTTGAAAGCACGCGATAAGCAGCTCCTTAGAACCGCGAGCACTCGTCAGTCCGCAATTTTCCCCCCTCCCTGTTTTATCTTTGTCCTTCATGCGGAATCTCCCTTACGTATCCCCCGTGCACGCATTCATTACGGCCGACGTTATGGTCCAAGGCTTCTCGTTTAATACCTCACGCATTCGCGTAAGCAAACCCTTGACAATTCGCCGCGATGTTCACCGCCGCCGTCGCTGCTGACGAGAGGCAAACGAGAAGGCGCGATATCAATTTTGCTACTCGAGTTCCCCGCGTGTGCATCGCGAGTGCGCGATGCACAGCCCGTTGCGACATTATACAGCGCGAGCGCGAGTTATAAAACGGTCCCGCACAATTCTCAGCCGATCCGTACAGCGTAACGTCGCGCATGCAGGTACCGAATTATCATGACTCAGCACGACACCGAAGATACTGTTATCACATTATCGAACCGCGCGCTAAAGCCGAGCGCGAGCTGAATTCGCTGCCCGCATTATGTAACGCTTATTTTTGCTTCGAGCAAAAGCCTCGCGCGCGCGCGCACTTTAATTTAATTGCACGGCTGAGATGATCTCATTTGACGGCGCGCGCGACGACGCACGATCGGATATCTCCGATCGAGCTGTCATTGTGGACCTCGGCGGAACGTGTCGCGGCGGCGGCGGCGGCGGCGGCGGCGGCGGCGGCGATGACGCGGATCGTACGATCGGACTATGTAAATATGCGTATGCAACAACAACGTAGCCGCTATCGGCTCTGCTATCTCTCGTTCACGGGACGCCGATTGAGAGACGCTCTATTCTTGCGTATCTTCGCCCGACTTCCTGGTCGCGCGCGAGTCAGGGTCGATAAATACGCAATCGCGAAATGGAAATTCGAATGACATTGCATTTTTCACGGTTCATTTCCAGCGGCCGGATATCGCTACAAGTCGTGCTATAGATAAACGGTGGGGAAGTATGTGAAGCGTCAAAAATCGCATTGTCGCCGATAGATCCTTTTCTTCCCGAGCCCTTTATCGCGACGATACGTCCGATCTCTCCTCGCTTCGTCCCTTTCTCGCGAGCTGAGACGCGATAGTCATAAAAAAAAAAAGGAAAAACAAAAAAACAGAGAGCACGAGTCTGCTCGAACCCTCGAGAACAAGCGCGACGCGACGCGACGCGATGCGCCGCGCCGCGAGGATTTCGAAATATGTCACGAAGCGCGAAATTACCTACTTGGAATATATACGATAACTCCCATCGTCGCCATTCAAGCTCATCGAAGAGCTTGGACGTTCTCTCGCGTGGTCTCGCCCCGGCTGAAAGAAATCTCCTCCGACGGTCTCACCACGTCGAGATAATTATGTCAACGATCACGTCGCACCAATTCTCGTGCGATACCAAAGGAACGTCATCAGGGAACAAAGTTCTCTCGTCGTCGTGCAAACAACAGGCTTCGGCGCACAATCACCGAAGAGAGTCCGAGGAATGTTCACGCGCGGCTGGTCGAGGTAGGCACGGTGGCGGCGACACGTAGCATCGGAAAAGCGCGGAAAACTTCCAAAAGAGCCCGCAGCAACCGCGACGGTGCCCCGCGACGCTCTCGGCGACGCGACGCGACGCGCGAAATGTCTGCTGTCTCTCCGCCGCTACGCCAGATGTTCCTTTCTCTCTTTCACAACAACCGTCGGGGATACGCCGGCTCTAACTCTCACGCTGGCGCATATTAATCGCGACCGGCTAATGGAACTCGTCGGCATGCTCGACGCGCCGCGCGCGGCTGACAAAATCCACAAAACACACACACGGAGTACGCACACTTTTTCGTCGACGCGAAACCGCGCGCGCGCGCGGACACGTGCGGCGGTGCGTCGCTTCGCGAGATCCTCAAGTGGCCGATGATAGATACAGAGAGAGAGAGAGAGAAAGAGAGAGAGAGAGAGAAAGAGAGAGAGAGAGAGAGAGAGAGAGAGAAAGAGAGAGAGAGGGAGAGCGGAGAGGTCGTGTCCCGTGGAAAAATCCGCCGGCGTTATTCAGCGAGCTCCCGCGGCTGAACGTCAACGTGTGGTCGCGCGAGGAAAAACAAGGGAGAGAGCACCAGTGTGTTCGCACACCGCCGCGGCTGACTAACTGAGCGCGAAGTCGCGCGCGGAGGAGTGTACCCCGCCACGCAGTCGTGCAACGAAGCGACAGCACGAGCGCCAAATCTGGGACTGATAATCCCACTATTGAGCGTTACACGCGCGCGATAACGCATTGAAATGTCGCGTCGCGGAGGTTCAGCGGTCTACTACATCACAACACACACGACAGGCGACAGTGTTTGTCGCGGCGGAACTAGTTCTTCTCTTTCTCTCTCTCTCTCTCTCTCTCCCCCTCTCTCTCTCTCTCTCTCTCTCTCTCTCTCTCTCTCTCTCGCTTGTTTCCTCCTCCGCTCTCGATGCGATTATTGTTCCGATCTCGAATCTAGCCAGTGTCGTCGAAATCGAGGCAGACCGAAAG